GCCTGGCTGGCTCTTGGCCAGGTTTTGCACGTACAGCTTTATTGGAACACAGCCATGCCCATTCGTTAACATGTTATCTGTGGCTGCTTTTCTGCTATAAAAGCAGAGTTGAGTGCTTGAAACAGACATCAGCACAAAGCTGAAAATGTTTACTGCCTGGCCCTCTACAGAAATGTCAATGCTGGCTTCGTATTTCGGTTTTGCCCCACTGTTCCTCACTGAACTGTGCTGGCAACTGTGGAGACTGGGGTGAAGGTGGGGCTGAGGCTCAGTTGGGGTTCCTTCTCTCCCTTGCCTGGAGGGCTGCTTCTAACCTCCCTCAGATGACTCTGCCCTTCTTCCTTCCTCTCGAAGGCCTTGACACAGTCATTCCTGGGTGGGGCTTGGTGGGGGTGGGCTGTCTGTTATCTGGAAACTCAGAGACATCTGTGGAAACTGCCCCCAGAGCCCTCTGGGTAGTCTTACCCCTCCTCACCAGGGCCCCTAGCATCTGTTTGCTGGCTGTGCTGGAAAGGGCACACACACTTCTTATTCTCAGAGCCACCCTTCCGGCAGGAGGAAAGCTGGTGTGTGATAGCTGTGTGACCCCATCTGAGGCACCACCCGGCCTGGGCTCCGCTCCCCACTAATGAGGAAGCTGGGCTCCAGTGTCCCTTCCGGCTCCGACCTTCCAGACTCCCACCGAGAAGTGGCTTAGTTTTTACTCTTTGAATGTGGGACTGTTTGAAAGTGGCCTTCCCTGGACTCTGTAGGGCTCAGAGTGGCTACAGTCTTGAAGGGCGAGGTTTCCTGGCCCGGAGAGAAGTCTTGAGACTCACTCTCAGCCCCCTGGGCTCTCAGGGTCAGGTTGGGTATAGAGTTGCTGTCTTAGAACAAAGGCTAGGGCTGGGTTACTGGGGGGGTTCGGCGCAGAGAGTCAGCAAATGCTGATGGCATCCGGAAGGCCCCTTGAGGTCTCTGCTTTGCTCCTCACCGCTTGCAGGAGGGCAGGGCTCCCCTGGACCAGCTCCATGCCCTGGGGTAAGCATGTCACTTGTGATACACTTCCTCCAATCCCTGCAACCCTCCTATGACCCAGGAAAGGTCGTCTCTGTTTTGCAGAGGAAATCATAGGCACAGAGGAGTTCCTGGGCTTGACACAAAGTCTAGTCGCCGGGAAGGTGCAAAGTAGAGACGGGAACCAGGTCCAGCTGACTTGTGCTGTGTGTTCAGCACTACTCTGGTCTTGAGTCTGGCTTACTCTTGGGTTTCCTTCTGGTCCTTTCTCTGGGACTCCCGTAGGCAGACCTGTGAATGTCAGCCTCTGGCAACCAGGGGATTTGCAAGAACTAGAGGCCAGGGGGCCAGAGCTGAGAGGGTTGCATTGCTGTTGGTGGTTTGCCTTGAGCTCCCTGCTGGAAGGCCTCTGAGGCCTGCAGGAATTGCCCAGGGCCTTTTACATACACTGAAATGCAGTCTTGCAAGAGGCCGTGGCCATTAAACTGTGAGTGATGTCAGGCTGCTTTTAAGTTGCTTGGTGTTGGAACCCTCCCCGTCCGGCAGGCGTCCGGCAGGGCCCGGACAGGTGTCTGCACTTCTGCTGTCGCTTGAACCTGTTGGGTGCAGTGCCACAGGCTTGCTCACGTGGTGAGTGGATTCCGTGGGGCTTCTAGCCCAGAGCGGCCCCAGAATAAGGGGCCTTTGCCTTGTGGGGAGGGGTCAGTAATGTTTACAGTGACACCCAGGGAAGCCCTACTTCCTGGCCACAGAGTGGGACACAGAGTGACCCTCACCACCTGCGGATATGGGTTGTGGGCTCAGAGTCACACAGCCCGTAAGCCCCTTCTGCGGAACTCCCATGCCACAGGTGCCCGTCCTAGCCCCCCTCGGTGGGGACTCCGACTGCTACTTGTCTTCCTGGGCCCTGTGGGCGGTGGGATAAAGTGCTGTCAGGAGGGTCGGAGACACCCGGTTGGGTTTGAACTCTGCCACTGGCTCGCTGTGTGCCTTTGGGCAGAAAACCAAGTCATTGTACCTCTGAGCTTTCCTGTTTGATAAAGGGGGTAATAGTACCACACACCTGTGATGGGGTTTGAGAGGGGCCCTTTGAGCATGAGAAGTGTTGAATGCTGGGCTTGGCACCCAGGAAAGAGTGGTACCACCTGCCATGGTGACCACAGTGGACAGCAGACCTGATGGCCCAAGGCCGGCCTCCCTTTAGGCTTAGCGGCAGTCCACCCTATCCTTTGGGAGGGGATTTAATCAGGTCATAAAAGAGAGACAAAGGAGGTTACTCTGAGGCTGGAAAGCACCCAGCTGAACTGTCGCTCCCAGATGGTTGGCTGCCAGGTACAACAGCCCAGCCCCACAGACCATCTGCCCCAAAGAGATCCGGAGAAGGGGCCCCACGGGGAGCTGGGTGAAGCTGGCGCGTGTCCTGGCCTGGCTCATTCACAGGGCTGTTGAGTGAGCTCCCAGACAGGCCACTTCCCCTGTCTGGTCCTCCCTCAGTCTTCTCATCTCTAGAATTGGTCCCCAAAGTTCCTGCCTTGGGCCAGTGTTCATTGAACCCATGATCTGACATGTGACCTCCTCCCCCACCCTGCCGGTTCCTGTCTTTCTGGTGCTAGTTCATGTTAGTTCTTCCTTTAAAACAATGGAAAAAACCACGAGCCCTTTTCTTAGTGCCCAGTCGTTGGGAGAGAAGGGAATCTGGGCTGCGGTGGGAGGGAACTGGCCAGGACTCAGCTGGGGGTCCTGGATGGGCAGATTTTTCTCGGGTTTCTCTCACCGTCCACCACGGTGCCAGGTGGGAGGGAGGCTGTCATGGGAATAGGTAAGGCAGTTGCTGCAGTGCTGTTGGGGACACAGGGAGGCACAGGGAAGGACAGCCTCTAGGACAGCCTCCTGTTCTGATCCTGAAGCCTCTGTGTAGAGCTTGACCATGGACGTGAGCCAGGCTGGGCTTTTGCTCGGCCCCCATTTGCTCTGAACGCATTTGGAGGGCATGAGGTGTAGGTTTTCTGATCTAAACAACCAAGCGAGGCGGCTGTGGTGCCATCTAATGAGAAGGACAAGAGTTGGCAGGGGCGGGTTGGGGCTGGGAGAGCAAGGCTCCATCTGGGACATGCGCAGACTGCAGTGTTGTCAGCTAGGTTCCGTGCATGTCACATGGACATTAGGTGCGGAGATTCGGGTGTGTGGGTCAGCTGTGTAGAGAAGGTCTTCCAAGCCCTGTGATTATGGTCTCATCTAGGGAACTCGGGGGATGGGGAGGGGTCCCGGACAGAGCAGCGAGGCTCACCAGCGCATAGAGGTGCCTGGAGGAAGGGGAGCCGGCAGGAGAGGCTGAAGAGTGACCAGTGCTTCGTGTCCCCAGAGCTGACCAGACCAGTGCAGGAGGGAATGACCAGCTGTGTTTGGTCAGGTCAGATGAACAGAAAGAAGACTTGCCCTCCAGCTCTGGCGAGAGGCTAAGTCACTGGAGACCTTGAGGAATGGCGGGGCGGGAAGCCTGCTGGATTCAGTGGGCAGTGATGGGTCACCTTCGGGCTTGCCTGCCCTGCAGTGTCAGGTGCTTGGGGAGAGAAAGGAAGTGCTCGTACACCCCATCAAGAAGAACCAAGGCCTTCAGCAGCGAGTTAAATTCAGCAGGAGGCTTGAGGAGTTGAGAAACCAGCATGGCATGTACAGGACCTTGTGTCATTCCCTGGAGTTGAAAGTCCAACGCATCGGGGGCTTTGCCTGCATCCTCTGTGCCAACCCCAGTGCCGGAGAGGGGGCCTGGTGCTTAGGAGGGCCTCAGGCGGTATTTGCTGAATGACTTGGGATCTAGGCCCTTCTCCTCCACTGCTGGGTGTTTTGATCTTGGCCCTCTTGGGCTCGTGTTCTCCTTTGTGAAATGGTCAGATCAGGTGCAGGCAGGGCTTCTGTGGGAGCCAGTGGTTAGGGGTCTGCGAACCCTCTGAAATCCCATCCCAAATATTGGGCACGTAAGCATTCTCTGAAAGTGGTCTGTGATTCAAAAGAGGGTGTGATCTCCCGGGGTGGGGGTGGGGGCTTTCTTTAAAGGTCCAGTAGTGAACAAAGGAGGCAGGGAGGTCTTAAAGTGTGAGCGTATGCCTTGGAGAGGTGAGTTCTAGGCAAACCTGGCCCCATTATTTAGCAGGAGGGGCTGACGAAAGGCAGGCAGATGCCAGCATGGTGTAAAGAACTTACATAGAAAAATAGGCAGCTTCATCTGCAGAGACCAGGTATTTTGTTTTATACGGAAGAAATCGTCTCTGGTTTAGAAACTTGTGTGGTGTTGGTGGGGGGCTTCCCATTGTGGTACAGGTGAGTCAGCCTGGTCCCAGTGGGGTGGGGGGTGCTCCTTTTCTGGGGTGAGTGTGTTGTTTCGCATAGGCCTATTTTAATTCTATAATGAATAACCCAGTAACTAGTAACGTGAAGCACATGTGTGCCCCTGGTGCCACGGGCTCTGTGTCCCCGTGGCGGTGCCCAGGGCTCTGGAGAGAGGCTCTCTGGCCCTGGGAGCCCATGAGTGCACCGGGGGGGGGGGGGGGGCTGTCACAGGGAGGTCATGTCTTCCTTACACCGGATCCTGCACTGAAGAGATTTCAGGGGCTTTGGGAATGTGGAAGAAACAGGGCAGGGCTGTCACGATGTCTCTGACTCCAGTGTCGGGGGCAGACTCTGCTCAGAGATCTTGCTCTCTGCTCTCTGGAGCGTGGGGGGCCATTGGGGTAGAAGGAGTTTAGCCAGATGTTAGGAAGGTAGGTGTAAGTTATCCCAAATGCCTGGCCATCCCTTTGCTCTGCGGCGGAGTGCGTGTCATTTGCAGGGACCAAGGGCCTGCCTTGCCCCTGGTTGGCCTCCATGGACGTGAGCCAGGAACGTCCCTTGACTAGTCGTGCGGATGCTCCTCAGAGCCTGTTCGTGGTCCTGGTTTTTTAACTAACTCTCTCCCTCTCTCCCTCCTTGCTCACTTCTCCCCTTCGCTCCACCCCTCCCCTGCTTAGCTGGCTGGAGTTGTCTTCCTTGGAGTCGGACTGTGGGCATGGAGTGAAAAGGTAAGTGTCCCTGTTAGCAGGGCTGGAAGCATCGGGGAGCCCAGGCCGGGTGTGTTCAGCTCTCCTTGCTCCTTCCTCCAGACTCCCTTGATAAGCGTTCTTGCCTGGGGCAATGGTTTATAGGTTTGTAGCCATTGGTTGTGGTTGTCGCAGAGGCGGCTCTGAGAAGTGGTCACTGAGCTGATCATGAGGACCTCCTGGGGCCCTGGGACTGGCTGTTTCCCTGTGGTGGGGTCACTGCTAGGGGCCACCACGGGTGGGCTGGGCTGGGCTTTTGAGATCCATGAATGCGGAGAGCCCTCTCTGCTATTCCCAGAAGCCTCAGACAACCCGGGGGCTTGTCTGTGGTGGATTCTGGGGTGGGCCTGGGGCCACCTTCTGCTCCTGTCTGTGCCTCTGGGAGCCAGTAGCTCCCTGAACACAGTCGTGTTTGTTCCCAAAGTTTCGTCCTGAGACTGGGAGCAGGGCTGTGTTAAATCCCCCTGGGTGCCCTGTGGGGCAGAGCAGGGGCTTCTACACCTGTGAGCCTTCTTGCCCAGCCTGTACAGGAGACGGGGGCAGTGGGGCGGTGGGGAGACCAGGCTCTTCCTGTGCAGCGGGACAAGGGGCAGTGGAAGCTCTGAGGGGACTAGACTTAGGAGCTGTGGCCCTCTTCTGCTCTGCTGGTGGGTGCACGCCAGGGAGGTGTGAGAGCCTAGGAGGACCCTCTCTCCAGCGAGAGCGGAAGAAGGGAGAGAGAAGGAGCAAGGTGGAGTAAGGTGCACTGAGCCGGGCGGGAAACTATGGGAACTAAAGCATCCTCTTGAGCCCCAGGCCCTGAATCCTCTTATCCCTTCAGTGGAACCTGCCTTGGGTTCTGGGAGATAGAGGGAGGAGCACTTAGATCTATGGGCCTTCTTGCCATGGTCTTCGGAGCTGAATAAGGCCCGCCTTGGGGTTTGGGTATCTTCAGGGTACCCTGGAATCCCCTAAATTTAGCGCAGGAGCTGGAGTGCAATGTCCCTTCGTCCTGCGGCCAAACCCCACAAGCCTGCTCAAACTGTGACTCATATCGCCACCATGTGGCCATCTCCCGAACAGCAGCAGCTCTGGCAGAGCCCTGAGCAGAGGCCTGGCTACCTTGGGGCCCTAGGGGTCCCTGGGGGCCTGGCTGGTGGCTCCTTTCTCCTTCCTCTTTTGAATCCTGTAGAACTTTTCTGTCAGTTTTGGTTCTCACTAGCCACATGTGACTGTATGTATTTAAGTTAGTTAAAATGAAACATGAGCTCAGATACTCAATAGGACATGGGGCCGGTGGCTACCGTTTGGGACAGCGCAGATAGAGAACATCTCCCATCATCACAGAAGGTTTTATGGACAGCGCTGCTTCGTCTGCCCTTGGTGGGTGTTTCCAGAACAGTGTGCATACTGAAGCTGTTTTCAGCTCAGGGTCGTGGGGTTCTCTACAAACTGAGTACAGAGTTAGCCGTCACATGGCCTGAGGCCAGGGCGAGCCTCTGGCCCTAAGGTGCCTGGACCGGAGACCACAGGGTTCCCCAGGGCCCCCCTGCACTCTAGGCCTGGCACAGGCACCCTGCAGTCTCCAAAAAAAGCATGGGGTCGGCCTGGGAGGGACTCAGAGCCAAGGTGCAGCCCAGGATTGCTGCGCGCAAGGGCCCTGGGAGCTGAGGCTGGCAAGGATCTGCGGGCAGAGGGGGCCCTAAGAGGGCAAGTGGGCAGGGGCCACGCTCTGTGCTCTGGCCTGGCTGTTAAGGACAGGACTGAGCCTCAGGAGACAGGTCCCTGTCCTTATTTTATCTCTGGACATAACCTAGGTCCCCCTTGCCCCCCAAGGCACCCTTGACTCCCTGAACTCCCTGAAGCTGATGCTTTCTCTACCTCTTTCAGGGGGTGCTGTCTGACCTCACCAAAGTGACCCGGCTGCATGGAATCGACCCCGTGGTGCTGGTCCTGATGGTGGGCGTGGTGATGTTCACGCTGGGGTTCGCGGGCTGCGTGGGCGCCCTGCGGGAGAACATCTGTCTGCTTAAGTTTGTGAGTAGCCGCGGATGCGGGGGCGGGTGGGGGTGTGGACTCTGCTGGGCAGGCTCACCCCTTATCTGGCTGAAGAGGGTCGTAGCTCTTACAGGGCCCCTTGGGCCCCAGCCGTGTGGGGAGGAGGCTGCCCACCGACTGGGAAGATTTCAGGAAACAGTCAGCTAAGCCGGCTGCTCACCCCTGGAGAAGTCGGGCCGCTCTGGTGTTCTGGTTCTGGAGGGAAGAGACGGCTAAGCAGCCAGCTCCTGTCCCCTCCCTTGCCTCTTCCCTCTGAAGTTCTGAAGGAATTGTTTGTTTGCTACTTGCCTTTGCCCTTCTTGGCTAAGATCAAAAGAAGTTGCCAGTAAAGTTAGGAAACCGTTTTCCTCCTCCAGGGGGGTGTGTGTTGGGATGTGCAACACAGAATCCCTAATTTCCTGGCAGAACTGCCAGTTACTTAGGGTTTGGTTTTATATTTAGATAAAAATTCATGCTGAAATGCATTCAGTTAAAATTAAATAGCACCTGGTGGGGAAAACACATAATCGTGTTTTGCAATATATTATTTGTTGAACTTATTAGATCAAGCCTTCTCTTCCCTGGGCTTAATTTAAAAAGCAAAACATGTTTTTGGTTTTTTTTTTTTCGTCTTCTCATTTTTTTTCCTTTTAAAAATATATTTAGTATCTTCCTTCTGTGTGAATGGAGGTTAGGTTTTGAAGGACCTGGTGTGTATGTGTGTGTCTGTGTGTGCGCACGCACGCTGGTATTTCCTGTTGTCTTACCCTGAGACCCTCGCCTGCCATGGCCTCCCAGCTTAGAGCCCAGGGTGACCAGTGGTGGTAATGGGCGGGGGAACTCACGCACTGCTGGCTGGAAGTCTGCTGGATGGGAGGGTGCAGCTGTGGGGGGCCCTTGCAGAGGGCCACCGCTGTGGTGGCCAACGGTGCTGTGCTTCTGGAGAGGTCTTGCCACGTACAGAGGCACTCAGATGTCCTGCATGAGCTGCGTGACCTCAAGCAAGCCATGTGCCAGAGTGAGCCTCTGTTTCCTTGTCCCTAAAGCGGGGGCGACAGTAGATTTCTAGCAACTTGGACAGTTGTGTGTGCGAGGAGAGTGGTTAAGTGTTGTGTCTGGGGCACAGGCTCTGCCCTAGAGTTGCTGGTGGCCTGGTGGGGTAGGTTAGCCCTGCCTCCCTGGGATGGGGCTTCCTTGTTGTGGGGGGGAGGCTGCCTCACAGGAAGTGGGGGACATAGTGGCTTGGAGCTTTCTGGTTCTTTCACTCGTCTCTTCCCAGTGGTGCTGTGATGGGGTGGGGGTGCACCTCTCCATTTACAGAGGGGGCAGGGCTGCCAGCCAGTCACATGGGATTCCCAGGGGCTCCGGCACTCGTGTCGCAGGGGTGGAGCTCACCCTCTTTGCAGCAGGCATCGATCCCTGGTCAGACGAGGCTTTGTGCCTGGCTGGAGGCTGGAGGTGTGATGACTCTCACCTCTGTTCTTGCCACCACGCAGTTCTGCGGTACCATCGTGCTCATCTTCTTCCTGGAGCTGGCCGTGGCCGTGCTGGCCTTCCTCTTCCAGGACTGGGTGAGGGACCGGTTCCGGGAGTTCTTCGAGAGCAACATCAGATCCTACCGGGACGACATTGACCTGCAGAACCTCATTGACTCCCTTCAGAAAGCGGTAAGGACAACATCCGTGCTGGCCTCCTGGCTAGAGCATGGGATTCCCTGGCCATGCACGCTGCCCAGGCCTCGGCTAATGGGGAACCCGGGGTGTCCCTCCTCCGCATGGCAGGTGGCGGGGAGGCTTATGGGGGGGGCTCTGGCCTCTGGTCAGTTTGACTCTGCCCGTTTACTGTTGCCTGGTCATGTAGGTGTGTTCGCAGTGTGTCCTCCCCCATTTGCGTGGGGCAGGCCGTCTTGCTGCCCCCGCAGGCACCCTCCTTCAGGGGCCCAGATTTCTCAGGTCCTGGCCACACAGGCGGCCTCAGGTCCCCAGGCACTCTGGGTACCCAGGGGCAGAGCGTCCCCTCCCCGGTGCATGACTCACTGTCTGAGGCTATTCCTGTCCCCTTCCTCCCTGGGACCTTTTCCCCTTCCTGTTCAAGAAGGCAGAGCTGCCTGGAGGAAGCTTCCCCAGATGGGGAGGAATGTGACCTCCTTGGAATATGTCCCCAGGGGGCTGTCTAAGCCATCCCAGGCCTTGGCCTTGACTTCATCTGGCCTCCGCCTCCCCTGTGTGCAGCTGCACCTGGAGGCTTGGACCACTGCTGTCCCTGCCCTGGTGGGGGGGGGGGGCCCGTTCCCTGCCACCGGCTGGGGCAAGGCCGTCGTGTTGTCCGTCTGTGAGCTCCCGGAAAACCTCGCTTCCCCAGGGACTTCACGTGGAACACTTGGATTCTGAGGAGAAAACAAGCAAGCACACATTAAAAATAACTCTGGTCCACTCTCATGCTGACTAAAACTTGTTTACCCTTACGTTGTATCGCCCGGGACCCAGCAAAACCCACTTTATGTGACCAGAGACACTTCCTGTGTCATAATAGTGACTAGCATTTGTCTTTGAAAATCCCACCTCAGCCATTTCCTTCTGCCCTCACTGAGCCTTCCCGCCGTTCCCCGCTGTCCCAGAGCCGTGGCGTGCCCGGGTGTTCCTGCCCCCCGCTAGCCTCGAGGACAGGGCACTCTTCTCCAGTGCCGTCCTTTCCTCTTGAAAATACACTCTCCAGAGGCATTCGGTAAATTGTGGAGATTCCTCATGCTGAAATATTTGGGAGTCATGAGAGAAGCTGGAACCACAGCAGGGTAAGGGCGGCGGGGGGCATGGGATTTTAATCTCAGAAATAAAAGACAGCCAGGAACCCTGGTCGTTTATTTGTTGTGATCATGGCCAATGCCATGTCAACAGCCAGGACAAGTGTGACAACGGAGACAGCGGAGTCTGCTCCGGTCTAGGAGGCCCTTGACATCCCTGTGTCATTTTCAGTGTTTGGTTTTACAAGTTTGTAGACGAGGGGCGATTCCGTTTGCAACTACATTGGACAGTAGGGGGTGCAGAGACCCCAGGTTAGGGGGACTGAGCTGTGATTGTGTTAACCGTTCACCCTGCTCATGATTCTGGCCTTGGGAGTAGACGTCTAGCAGCTGTTTTTTGTAAAGAGGCACCTAAGGGAAGTAAGGCCAGCTCGGACGTTTCTCTGGGAGGAAGCCCCACTCACTGCCCACAAGGAGGGGTTCTCTTGGAGGATATGAGAGAACTGCATCGGAGATACTGAGGGTCTCCACGGAGAGTGAGGAATCCACTTTGGGCTGAGGCGAGGGGAAGAAGGAGAAGCCCCAGGGGCGGAGGGTCTGGACCTGACTGGGGTGTCCCCGGGGAGGCCAGGGGACGCTGCAGAGGCAGTCCTGCATGCCGCACCCGGTGTGTGGGGGGTCTTAGATGAGGTTTCCTGGTTCCTTCTTAAAGGCTGCCTAGGTTACCGTGCTTAGCGCCTGTGCATGTGGGAGGTCAGTGGGGCGGGGGGTGTGCTGGATTTCTCTGTGTGTACATGGAGCAGCGCTTCCCCTCATGTCCCCAATCCCCTGTGGGGGGGTGGTCACAGCCCTGGCTCAGAGCCAGAGCCCCTGACAGTTCGCGGCTTTTGTGACCCCAGAACCAGTGCTGCGGGGCATATGGGCCAGAAGACTGGGACCTCAACATCTACTTCAACTGCAGTGGTGCCAGCTATAGCCGCGAGAAGTGTGGGGTGCCCTTCTCCTGCTGCGTGCCGGATCCTGCGGTGAGTCGGCCTGCCCGGGGGGCGTGCAGCTGTGCTGGGCTCCGGGCTGCTTCTGTGCTCCCTCTGCACACCACGCAGGGTCTGCAGCTCCCAAGTCCTCTGTGTGTAAATCCCAGGCACATTTTTGCATGACCTGCCCTTGCTCTAGTGTTCTGGGTGAGGCAGGAGAAAACCAGTCGCGTCTTTCCCTTGAGGGGCTCTCACTTAGGGTGCCTGGACGAAATGCTAGAAATGTGGTGAGCCCTGGGCCACCCTCTTCACCATCCTCTGGAGAGAATGCCCCGTGCACAGAACTGGGGGGGTGGGGGGGGTTACTCACCATCTGGGGGTGGTGGAGGCATCTCGCTTTTCTTCTTCACCTGTTCTTATTCCCAGCCCATAGCCCGGGTCCGTGGGTTCCAGAACCAGGGCCCTTGGGGTGATGTGTGAAGGAGCACTGAACATTTGCTAGAACTGAGCCTTTTGCAGCTCTTGGTGTGCTCACAGGTGTTCAGTACGCGGCCCCAGGGCTCAGAGCAGGCAGGGCAGAGCCACTGTCAGACGACCCACTTCCCAGACCAGGAAGCTCTGGTTTGCTGTGGCCGCACAGCCAGCGCCTGATATCCCCACCGTGACCATGAAATACTGAGCGAGTGGAACTTTCATCTCCCCGCTCAGGCACTGCCAAACTGTGACCCATGGGCCAGATCCAGCCTCCTCTCTGTTTTTGTATGATCTGCGAGCCGAAAGTAGTTTCAGCCATTTGTAAATGGCTGACCATAAATGAAAGGAAGAATAATATTTTGTGACGGGTGAAAATCATTTGAAATTTAAATTTCAGCGTCCGTAAATGAAGTTTTACTGAAATGCGGCCATGCACATTCATTTATGTATTGTCTGTGTGTTTCATGCTCCGAGAGCAGAGTTGAATAGTTGCTACGTAGACGGGTCTCCTTCACAGACACGGTTGGTCAACCTTTGTCCTAGTGTGAACGGTTAGTTGGCATTGCGATTAAAGGATGTGAGCTATAATGAAATTTGTACAGGTGTTTGCTGATGTTTGGTTGGGACTTTTCTAGAACCTTCTACCACTGGCTTCCCAAGAGAACAAAAATGACCATTTTTTTTTCTGCTTTTCTTACAGCAAAAAGTTGTGAACACACAGTGTGGATATGACGTCAGGACCCAGGTGAGTGCCCGAGGCATGCAGCTTTGAGTTTGTCAGGTTTATTCCCTGTGGTCCAACTTCCTGATTTAGCACAAGTGCAAATTGGAATGGGTGAGACTCGGGGAGGGGCCGTCTAAGCTGGGAGCAAGCTGGGTAGGAGCCCCTGGCAGCAGGACTCCAAGGAACAGTGATGGGGGTGCTTCCCAGCCTGGGAACTGCGGTCACAAAGTCTAGCAGTTGCTGCATTAGTGGAAAGAGGTCAGATGAAAGTTTTGGGAACAAAGCCTTTATTTTTAATGGCTCCTTGGAGTTCCGTGGGTGTCTGTTCGGTAGGAGCTCAGGGTGAAGCTGCAGGAGCACAGGGCTTGGTTTAGCCGCCATATGGAGGCACGGTGACAGTGAGGAGGGAGACGGGTCTTGGGGCGGGAGGAAGGCTCAGTTCTCCTGGGGTTTCTTCAGGCCACAGGGGGTGTGAGGGAGGAGAGAAGTGAGTGTCCCCCTCCTCCCAGGCACTGCTCGGTGGCCTTTGGTGATATGAGTGACTGCTATTCTGAAGGAGGGAACTTGGGGAATCTATGGGCACCTTTCCTATTGGCCATGGACGCCAGGGATGTGTGCCTCCGGTTTGGGAGGCCTAAAGCCCTTCTGCAGGGACCTCCGCCCGTTACCCAGGGACGGGCCTGTACCAGCATCATCCTTTCGTTGCTGCTTGTGTTAGATTCTAGGGCTGTCATAACCAAGTACCACAGACTGTGGCTGAAACGCGGAAACTTCTCTCCTCAGAACTCGAGGTTAGAAGTCCGACATCAGGGTGCTGGTAGGGCTGGTGTGAGGCCTCCCCTGGGCTTGTAGGTGGCTGCTTTCTCCTGTGTGTGTCCCCACATGGTCCTCCCTCTGTCTTTTGGTGTTCTGATCACTTTTTATAAGGACACCAGTCATATTGGATTGGGGCCTATCTGATGACCTCATTTTAATTTGTTTACCTTTTTCTCCATATAGTATTTCTCTTTCTTTGACTGACTTACTTTGCTGTTGCAGATGGCAAGATCTTACTCTTTTCTATGGCTCAGTACTAATCCGTTGTAGATATGTAACACATCTTTTTTTTTTCCCTCACATCTAGAGTTTGGGTTTGGTTTAGGGCCAGCATAATGGGGGTTAGGGCTGGGGACAGTGTGAGGATATGTGCCTATTATCCTGCAGTTCAGAGACCTGTCTGGGGGGATAACTTTAGAATTAGGGTTAGCGTTAGGGGTGGGGGTTAGGGGCTAGGGTATGTGGCTGGTGTCCTGCTGTTCAGAGACCTCTCCGGATGATTCAGGTTAGGGTAATGGGTTATAGTCCCACTTCAAACACCTTGTCTCCAAGTGCAGTCACATTCTGAGTTTTAGGGAGACACAGTGCAGTCTCTTACCCCACTAAAATGGATTACTGTTCCACCAGTATTGCCATGAGCGAGGCTGTATGCGGTGGGTGGGGGTGAGGATGGGCTGTGTGTGCTGGGGGTTCTCCAGTGTGCGTCCTGAGCCTCCACTAGGGGTCAGGGTTGGAAGGTGCCTGTTGGCTTAGGACTGTGACTCTGGCTCCTGGAGCCAAGCTTCCTTGGCTGGGGGACACACTCTGGGAAGCCACTGTCCCCTTTTTCCCCAGCCAACTTCTCTGACTCAGAAGATGCTGAAGGCCCTTCTAGTTTTTCTCTTTAAAGCCCCATCTTCCTCCTTGGAGCCTTGGGGGCCCTCTGTGTCCTTCAGATGTGGGCTCTGGAGGTGTGCCAAATTAGTCCCTCTTTCAGTCTGGGGAGGCCTCACCAGGAGTGGGTAAAGACCACCGCCAGGAGCCTTCCTCTGGGCAGAGCAGAAGATGCAGACTGCCCAGGGAGAAGGCAGAGACTGCGGCAGGTGGAGGCAGTTCCCCTGGAGGGTTCTGTCCATCCTGGGCACCCGCCTTCTGGCCCCCTGGCCCCCGCTGAGCTCCGCCCTGCCTGCCGGGGGAGCCCTCTGGGGAGCTGGGGTGGGGATGCCCCACATGTCTTGGGCTCAGTTCGCTGTGCTGTTTCCCTTTAGCTGAAGAGCAAGTGGGACGAGTCCATCTTCACAAAAGGCTGCATCCAGGCGCTGGAGGGCTGGCTTCCACGCAATATTTACATCGTGGCCGGCGTCTTCATCGCCATCTCCTTGCTGCAGGTTTGCTCCCCCTGCCCTTTGTGGCTTCCTTTGTCCTTGCGGGTCGCACCTGTTCATCTGAACCAGATTTCACACGTGGGGAGACTGGGGGCTGAGCTGGCAGCTGCCCAGAGAATGGGGAGGGGCAGGGGAGGCAAGAACTCTGCCAGTCAGAGAGACCGGTTCTCCGGGGTGCCCAGGGCTTGGGAGGAGAAACTGGCAGCCCCCAAGCAGCCTCTCAGACGGCCATCACCGCTGTGCAGAAGGTGCATCGTTCGGCTCTGACGCTGCTGTCAAGAGGGTGCCTGATGCGGCCCGGGGGCTGCGGACCGTCCACACTCCCCTTCCTCCTTCACCCCGCCAGTGTGTGTTGAGTGATTGCAAGGGAAGCTTAGACACAGAAGCATCTAGAAAAGGAAAGAACAAATTTACTTGCCAAATGGGCAAAGCATTCAGACTTCAGAAGAACTGGCTCATAAGATATAAACCACAACAGGAATTTAAAGGGGAAATAAGCAAAATTCCAAGATTTCCGAGTGCACATTGGTCTGTTCCTGGTAAAAAAAACAGTGATGATGCTGGTCACCAAGGTGGGACGGCCCCACGGCTGAAACCAGGGAGAACCTCGTTTTTATCATGGAGTCCTGGTTTACGGGAAGCATCAAGATGTATTATTTTACGTCAAAGCCAGTCAGGTGACTGTTATTTTTGGGTTAACGGTGGGTACAAAGTGTATCCCAGCGCATGATATGTGACGTGCGTGGCCCTGTTGGAGGCAGGCCTTCTCTGCTGCTGGCCGTTTGCCCCAAACTTCTAGGCCCCAGGGATAGAGCAAAACAGACCCCAGGACTCCCTGTTTACTGGCGGGTGCGTCCTCTGTGCTGCATCCTCAGTGTCTGCAGAGTGGGCCCGTGCCCCTTGCCCTCTGTGCCCACCCTGTCCCGTCGGGCCCCAGCACTGATGGCCTCCCCTGGCTTTGGTTTCAGATTTTTGGCATCTTCCTGGCGAAGACCTTGATCTCGGACATTGAGGCGGTCAAAGCAGGCCATCACTTCTGAGGAGCAGAGGTGAGCAAGCAGAGCTGAGCCACGCCGTGGAGGCCGGAGCCCTTCGCTGCTGTCAGCCCGACATCCAGAGGGAGAGAAGTGGACACACCCAGCCAGAGTCAGCACCCTGTCTTCGGCATCAGCGTGACGCGACCTCCCTATTTCTGTTTGCTGGTGCTGAAGACCAAGGAGCTCCTCTGACCTGCACGGACTCGTGACAGAGACCCGCTCGCTCGGAATTTACCCAGAGATGGAGACCATGTCTTTAAGCGGGGCAGGGACTCTGAGGGACAGAAGGTTCCCATGGCTGTGAAAAGGGCCTGACTCAGTTTTCCTGGAGACTAAGTGTGTCTGCAGGGCACCCTGGCCTCCCCACTTGTGTTGTCAGTGCCGGCCTGGAGGGCGGCCACATCTGCTATGAGTGGGACCTGGGTGGGGGCCCAGCAGACACGGACGAGGCTTCTCCCAGCCGCAGAGAGGTGTCACCTGGAACTGGGGAGGGGAAGGGGAACAAGGGGATCGTACCAGCGGAGCCTGTGTGTCCGCACAAGCTGGGGGGGTGTTTGTGGGTTCCTCTGCCACATCCAAGGAAGCCTGAGCCATGTGTGGACAGGCGCCACGGAGTGCCTCCTTGACTGCCCCTTCCAGGACAAGACCTGCCTCCAGTTTCCACAATATCAGGTCCTGATGACACGGGGGGAGCAGGTCACGGGCAGGGTGCTCCTCTGAGAGTCGGCTCTCCCTTTCTGAAAGTGTGTAAATAGTTTATTTATAGGGATAAGAATGTTCTCACACCATTTCTTCATTTCCTCTGGCATTCCCTCTAAGCAGCCTTACACGATGTCTGGGACTGAAGCCATCCCTCTCAGTTCCCTCGTGTGTCTCAAGAACCAACCCCCTCAACTTCTCCTTTTCAACCCTCACAGCCCAGGTGCACACATGTGCTCTCCCTTCCTCTTTGCACCCTAGCTCACATGCACCCACTCCCTTCCCCAGCTAGGCCTCACCGTCTTCTGGTCTTGGTGCTACTGAATCCATCACCTGGAACTTGAATCCTGACCCCACCTGCCACTCCCCCTACCCCCCCACTGCAAGGCCAGGGAGCCCCAGCCAGAGACGTCCAGCCTGGAACCTGTGACCAGGGCTTCTATCAAGGCTACATGCTAAGGGCCGCTGGCCGGCCTGGTGTTTGCCTCTCCCTGGAGAGCGTAACTGTGGCCTGGCCCCTGTGTCGAGCCTGAGACCCCAGCCTGCAGCTGGGTAGAAGGTCAGGATGGTTCTTCTTTGGCTAACTTTTGTGGTGACTCCCCCCTCCACTGTCCCCAGTCAGGGATCTGTGGTGATCATGTCCCTCCTCCCTGGCAGGGCTGTCCTGGGGCTTGCTCTTGGAAATGAAGTCTGTCTTATGTACCGAAGGTCCCCCCGCCGGGGGTGGCTGGCGTGTCTGTGCGTCTTTGGCTGGGCTCCTCTCTAACGCTTCTCTCGACCCCGTACCAGTTCTGTCCTCCTCGTTCAGGGACTTGAGTGCTACCTTCACTGACTTGCCGAAGTGTACATGCTAGTGTGGTGTATACTGGTGGGTGTTTGTGGATGATGTTACGATTTTTGTTTCTGGGTTTTTTTGTTTTGTTTTTTTTGTTTTGTTTTTGTTTTTTGTTTTATTTCTTTATAATTTTCTCTGTAGATTAGAGGAAGAAGAATGCTTGTGTTTTCAGGAAGTGTGATGCTTTTCTTTGACTGCCAAACTCTTTTATGGAATATATCTTTATATTAATGCTGTTGTCTTGGTCGTTTTTATTTTGAGTGACATCAAGATGGCATGAAACATCACGGTGGTAAACTCGGCTGCTACGGGAACCGGGGGCACTGGGAGTGACGAGACAGGACAGGACAGTGGAGGGTAAAGGAATCCACGGGCAGCACAGTTTGAAACAACTTCCATCAGGTGATTTGTTTTAGATTCTGTGCGCCACTTTCCATTATCCTTGGTGTGGAGGTTACACCCGGAACAAGCGGGCTTGTGGCTTGCTTACGCCTGCTGGAAGCACGAGGCCGAACTCTGACTCTGCAGGTGGCAGGAAAAGCATTAGGCGACCTCTGTCCAGCCTCGGGTGGTGTGATCCAGGTGGGAGAGCTTGGGGACACTGGGCGGGGAGCTGGGCCCTGCTGCTGCATGAGTTTGTCTGGACCCGCAGGCCCATCTGAAGGGTTAATAGCATTGTCCACCTTGCCGTGTGCCTCTGATCCATCCTGCCCCGGGGAGATGGTGGCTCTGGACCCACGCTGCTGGTGCCTGGGCGCCCAACAGCTTCGCCTCCTGGGTGGCTCCTTCTGGCCCATCTATCCGGGTCACCCTCGTGGCTGGACCCCTTGTAAGTCCCCTGACAGCTCCCAGCCCAGCTCCAGGTGAAGACTAGCTAGGATTTTTTCAAAGTTCAGTGTGTTTTTCAATTAGTTTACAAAGGTCTGGCCATTTGAGCCATCCCCTCTGACTCTGAGTGGTTGGATGAGAGAAGAGAGAGGAAACCTGGCGGAACAGGTGCATGCGTGGCTCTCTCCAGCGAACCCGCCTCCTTTCGGAGCCACAGTGCAGGCGTCCTGGTCCCGCGCAGCCCCTGCACTCTGCCCTCCCAGACCGGGAGGAGGCCACCATGACCTGTGCACGTCCCTCCCTCACCCCCACATACTGTCACTGCAACGTTTCTGGCTCTTCCTCTATCCTTCCCGTGCCCCTCCTGCCCTGCTCCGTGTAGGACTCAGCTGCATCATTGTTTTCCCACGTCCTTTCCGTCTCACACATTACATGTTTCCCCATGTCCGAAAGCTTGCCTCTACCCCCTCGCCTGCCTTCCTTCCCTTCCCTGGGGGGGGGGCTCATTGTCTGGGTCTCTGTACCCTGCCCTCCACAGCCCAGCACTCCTCCCTGACTGAGGAGGACTGCTCACCCCCTCACCAAGCCCTGTTGGCCTCTGCAGCCCCCAGCACTCTGGACCACCCTCTGGCCCATGCCGCCCATCCTTGTCACGCCCTCTAGCAACTCCTGCCACTGCTGGGCTCACCTGTCTCCAGGGGTGCACCCTGCCTGGAGGGCGAGGCTGTGAGCTGGGCAGGAAAACCGTCTCCTAGGACAGGAAAACAGTCTCCTAGTGCCCAGGAAGCCTGTACTTTCCCCATGTAAATAACAATAAAAATGACTCGGCTACAGAGCCTTCCGGAACATAGGGTGTGCTCCAGGCACTTAACAGTTAAATTCAGTTACCAGAACAGCTTGGAGGAAGCCAGTTTCATGCCCAAAATGTGCAGCTCGGTGAAAGGGGAGCTCCTGTTGAGGATTTGGAAGATCTAGATTCAAACTCTAGAAACCTGCCCCAGAACCTGTACCTGTTTGAGTAGGCCTGGCTTCTGCTGAGCAAAACCACACCAAGGGCATGCCCGGGGAGAAGCGGTTTCCCAAAGATTGCCCAGCTCACGGGCTCTGTGGCAGGTCGACAGGCGTTTGGAGAAGGGCGGGGAATGCTCACTCCTGCCTATGTGCCTGGATTTGGGACAATATGGTGCTCAGCCTTATTCTTGGCGCTTGGATCATCATGGTGCTCAGCCTTGCCCCTGAGACCCTGGTTTCGGGCCACAGGCTCACTTCCCTGCAAGGCCAGAGCTGCTCTCCACGCAATAAGCCCGCCGAGGTCTTTCTGCACCGGATGGGTCTGCCACTGGGGTGGTAATGGGCACGCATATGAGTATGGGCCTCTGCAATCTTAAGGACCTCGAGGGAGAGCTCCCCTGAAGAGGAGGCCAGCAGAGAAGGGAAGGCCTCAGTCTTGGTAGCAGGGGCCGTCTGACCGCTCTTGGTCTGCAGCCTCAGAGCATGGACTGCAGAGGCACGGAGAAAGGTGAGGGGCTGTTGCAGTGGTCCCAGCACCCAAGGAAGGACCCAGCATCCTAGGAAGGTCCTGCCCAGGTGTCAAGTTCTCAGCCCTGCCACCCAGAGGGCCAGTGCCTTTAGGTGTACGAGGTGAGTGGAATGACTGTATGACTTTCGCAGGGGGGTGTTTCCAGCTCTAGGGTCATGCGTGGTGTCTGTCCACAGGGCCACAGGGTTTTTAGGTTGTCTGCCCCTAAACTGTGGTAACGTGGCACCAGTGATGGATCTTGGTAAAGGTGCCTCCACAAGCTCGTGTCTGTTACTCAAGAGGTTGTTGCCTGACCTTCCAGGGTCGACGGGGCGCTCTGAACCTCCAGGGGACCCTATACCGTTAGTGCCATTTTAGTTCTGCGAAATCAGCAAGACCAGTCTTTTCCTCCTCCAGACGGCAGTGAAGAGAGGTATGCTCATTCTCAGAATGCTGTTGGGGTCTCCAGGATGCCTCTGGAAAACCTACCATGGGTGCTGTGGAATAAGGGCTGGGGAATGGCTCTGAGAGGAGGAAAAAGTCAAGGCTACATTCAAGTGGGCCCTGTTCCTGCCAAGTGACCGATTTCAGAGAACCCGGCTTTGGAGGAGGGAATGAACCATTCCTCAGGAAGCCGAGAGCATTCTTTCTTCCCTCCGCCTTTTTCCCATGCTCTGCTCTCCTACTTCAGTGGGGGCTTTGGAAGCAGGGTTTAATAACCACCAAAATAAATGAGCACCTCGGACTGTAATTCTATCACCTCAAACAACTTTAAAACTAGTTATTTTATATGTATAAGCAGTCTCAGTGTGGGCTCGTGTAATGGGAAGAAGTATGCTTCCCGTTCCCCAGAGGCAACTGCTCCCTCCCAGGTACCCTCCTAGAAAGTGTGGATCCATATTCCCAAATCTTTCTCATACAAATGAGAATCCTATTTTACGTGGTAGTCAACAATTAATTTTGCTTGCTATTTCCCTGAAATCTTTCTCCATGAGTGCCTGCCAGTCCACAGTGCACCTTCACTGTCACACCTCCCCAAGCAGGGCCAGCCAGCCAGTGAAGGAACCTTGCTCTGCCCAGGGGAGTATGTTTACAGTCGCAGGTAAGAGAAAATCCAGTTCAAACCGGTTTATACAATGAGGGGAGGTTTTGGCTCCTGAAACTGGAAAGTCCAGAGGTGGGGTGAGTTTCGGGGTTGGTTTGATCCAAGTGGCTCAGCAACGCCAACAGGATCTGATTTCTTTTATTCTCTCTGCTCTGCCTTCCACAGTGCCCCCATCGGCCGAGGCAGAGGGAGGGCGGACCCATCACAGACAACCTGGGTCCTCACTGTGACAGGAATGCGATGGTAGTGAAGCCACTGAGAGAAGCCCTCCCTCCCAGAAGCCCCTGAGCTCGTCCTTCCCATTCAAACCACGCGTCAGGGCAACAGACCCCTGTGGAAGGGGGTGAACATTGGGGAGGCCGCCAACAGCCCTCATGATGCTTCCGTGGGTGGATGTTTTAGTTGGTGTGGTGTTTTGTTGTTACAAGGGCTTATAAAAACTCCATGGCATTTTGTTGTTAGAATGACTTCCTATAAGGGTTTGTAAGAAAAACATGTTTTTAAAGGAGTTCCCCAAGGAGGTGGACTGACATTGTGATGATTGGGGTTCTCAGGGCTGGGGCATGTCTATTGCTGCCGGCCCATAGCTGGTATGTTGAGGGTGCCGCCACATGAACATCCGTGATGGAAGTATGGGCTGGCTCTGGGCCAAGGGGGTAGATGGGAGGGGGACGATGTCTCTCCAAGGACTCCTCCCAGTAGCCTGTGGCCTCCAACAGCAGAGGTTCCACAGACAGGCTGAGCAAGATGGGCAGGGGAGCCCTAGCCATCTGCCTTTGCCCTGGAAGATGGCTGGTCCTATGGGAACAGTGTTGTTGGGAGGCAACCTTGTTTATCGGTGAGGATCAGCCCTCAAGACCCAGGGCTGCCCCTGAGGTTGCATAGGGAGGGAGCTAAAGAGTCTGGGCAGCCACACGCCTGGCCCCTGTTGGCCCAGAGGAAGCTCTAGGATGCAGCAGTTGGAAAGGCAAGGACCACCCCCTCTCCCAGCATGCCCTGGTTCCTTGCCCTGGGTCTCTGGGCTCCAGACAGCTCAAGGCCTGACTGCTGCCCCCTGGTGGTTGGGTTGATCCCCCTGCCGGAGAAGGGGGGCACCTGCGCTGGGCCTCCGCCTGCCTGCAGGACCCCTTCCCCAGAGAGGTAGGTACTCGTTTTGGAGGCAAAACGGAGACAAGAGGGGAAGGGAGAGGAGGAGGTCTTGGCTCTGTGGGAGTGCAGCCCCAGTGGAGACAGGGATGGGCTGTGCCAGCCTCTTCCGCTTCCCCTGCACCTGCCAGGCTGCAAAACCAAAGTCATTACGTGAGAGGAAGGAGAGCCCAGACCCAGATTTGTTTGGCTTAGGACCTGTGCTGTGGTGGGAAGAGGCCTGAGCCCGAGTTGGAGTCTGGGCTCAAAAAAAAAAAGTAAAACTTAGTACCTCCGTTTCTTCATTTAAATGCCCCCCCCCCACAGGGGGCCCAGGAATATTCCGTTCATTATTGGAGATGAAAGAGCGTGGGAGCCCTGACTGCCCAGCCACCTACTCACCAGCCGTGGAGCTTCTGGCAAGTTACTTAGCCTCCTTGAATCCTCTTTGTAGAGTAGGGAGAGTAATGGCCCCACGTGGCCTTTTCTTGAGGCTGACATGAGCCGAGGTGTGTGAAGTGTTTAACATGGGCCCAGGGCACTTAGCATGTGCTCCCCAATTACTGCTGGGGAGGTTAATGAGGGGCAGCAGATCCCAACCAGGCCAGTCCCCACCAGGCTGAGCGGCCTGGGTTCCAAGTCACAGCTCAGGTG